TCTCTCTCTCTCTCTCTCTCTCTCTCTCTCTCTCTCTCTCTCTTGATGCAGTTTATTTCTTTTTCTTTTTCTCTCCAATATAAAAAGAAAAACAGGAAAGAGATAAAACATGCAACAAGAAAAATAAACTTTTAACACTCATGTAAGTTTGAATTAAGATAAGAAATTAGTTGTTTGTAATTTTTTACATGGTTATTTTCTTTTTTTTTTTTTCTTCAAAGTGAGAAGGAAAAGATGAATCGTATATGTTCAGCTAAATAGAAACTTATTAATCAACGTCTATAATAAATATTTACCATCAAAATTAAAACAAGTATAAAAGGCTATACAGAGTCATACGCTGTTAACCGAGCGCGGAAATTACAAAAAAAAATCTTACATTTAGATTCAATTCAAAGTCGAAAGGTGGAGTAAAGGAGTTAACCAGATTTGAAATTTGAAAAAATGTCTGTGAAGTTTAATGTAAAGTTTTAATTACACCAAGTGTTGGCTTTACCTCTGTTGGTGAAGAATGCTCTACATTTCAACAACTTCACCATCTCTAAGATATTTTTGTATTGTCGCTGATGATGGTCCAGATTAAAGGACCAAAACGTTCGACTTTGAATTGAATCTAAATGCAAGATTCTTTTTGTAATTTCCGCGCTCGGTTAACAGCGTATGACTCTGTATAGCCTTTTATATTTGTTTTAATTTTGATGTTTTTTTAAATTGTAAAGAGTTTGTAATTCAATTACTTTGTTTTATTTATTTATTTGATGAAATATTTACCATATTTGCATTCTGATCAATTGGTCTTGCATTATGCTTAAGCTTTCTCACAAAAAATTCTACCAGGTTTGGAAATGCAGATAGATCCAGCTCTATCTCGTCTAGATCGGCGTGAAAGATATTGGCGTAAAATCCATACAGTATTGGTCTGAGACCAATCGGCAATTCGATGCTCGTCAGCCAGCCCCATATTCTGCTGGTTGTCCTCAATGGCAAACAACAATAGCATGTTACCTACAGCGAGAACACTTTATACCTATATTAATTTTACATTCAACATGATAATATATAAATGGCTGTTCATTACCACAACGTCATTCAGCAATTCTGGCCCATCATCTACATCAATCCGATATCCATACTCGTGTAAATAATTCCATTGTGTTACTGCGAGCAGTGAGAAGCCTACTCCAGTTGGAACGACGAGTCGCCATCTCCGACCGATATTCCTGATAAATCTCACATTGACACTCGAAACAGGTCGCTTAACGAGCCACATTGGGCATTTTGACGTCACTTTCGGCAAAGAGCAACAATATTGGCAATCTCTGGAAGAAGTTAAATTATAGTGCAACAAGATCGCAATCAAATGTTAAGAAACATACTTGACAAGGAGACTCCGTATACGATTCCTGATCATCTTGCGGTTATTTTATCATTGTTCATTATTCAGCTCATAGTATGATGTAAACATTTGCTGTTGCAAATACAAGTAGGTCGCTTAGTATGTGTTGGTGTGCTCTCTTCTACGTATTACGTATGCATGCTTCCTTCAGCCAGACTATTGTGCTATTACTACATACGGTAACGCCATCTGAACTTTTCTCTCACTTAACTCTCTTAGGTTGTCGCCATGAAGGAAGATATAAGGAGACTCCACTCGGTCTCGCCAGTCTACAAGACATGAACCCATTTTAGGTTTCGAGTTCCGTTTCCGATTCTCGACACTCGCAGCGCTCGTGAATTTAGTAGTGCTGCGCATAATGAGTGCGAGTAAGAGAAATGATCATTTCTCTTACTCGCACTCATCAGAATCGGAAGCTGAACTCGAAACCTAAAATGGGTCCACTTTTATTTTACGGAGTGGAGTCTCCTTATATCTTACTTCCTGGTTGTCGCACACACCTTCCGAATTCTTTTGAACTCTTTATAATTCTGATTGACTGATTCTTGCTTTATGTTTTATGTTACTGTATTTCTTCTATCCTGTCCAGACTCTGTCAGTCTGTCTATAATCCAAATAATATCTTTCTAAAGCGATGTCTACATGAGATTTGAAGATATTAAAAATTAAGCCATCAGAATAATTAACAAATCATAGTGGATTGTTGTCCTGCCTTAAAATTTAATCGTAAATTAAATCGCTGGTTAATTTATTGAAACATTAAAGAAATCTGATTATAAAAAAGTATAAAATTAAATTATATAATATATATGTAATTTATAAATTAAAATTAATAAATCTCCCAGGTTAAGACAATTGAGCTATAGACTTTACAGAGTCATCATCAGCCGTAATTAAATTGTGAATTGAATTAAAAATATTTTTAAATTAATTTAATATATTGTAATTTATAAATGTATATACACACACAACACATTTATATGTGTATGTGTCATGTTTGTATGTATATTTACATATAAAGGGGGAATACAAATTTATAATTACAGAACATGATGAATTTTATTTTAATATAATAAAAAGTTTATAATGTATCTATATATACGCATTTTTTTATTTTTTAAGTTTCTTTTACTACATCATACTGTAATTATACTCAATCTCTATGGTCTAGAAAGAAAAAAAGAAAACATATAGAAAAATTAAGAAATTGTTTATTATTAAATCTATACGCAGTTTACTTACAAAATCGATAATATGCGATTTTAAACATGCTTATTGATAGAAAAATATCACTTGACTTCACTTTATTTTATTAACTTCACTGCACTTCACTTTACTTTTTTTCACTTCACTATCAATATCTACAACAATTTGCAGGACATCACTGACGAATAAAAGCATACGAACTTAATACTGCTGTTACCGCCAATTGCTACATAAACACTTCAACGGTTAAGAAAAAGACCGAAAATGAAAACATAAAGAATAAGTGAGAGAAAAGCTCAGATGGCGTTACCGTATGTAATGTCTCAATTTGCGCATGCGCGTTACGATTTTGGCTTCACATAGAATAGAGTTGCGCCTGTGCTATTACGGTTGGTCATCATTACGCGGTAAATCTAAATGGTTAAAAATGAAGTAAATTATGGTAGCTATTTTTGCATCTTTCGGTAACTTATGTATACTTTCGGTAACTATTTTTGCACCCTTTCACTGCACGGCACTTATTGCAGCCAAAATTTTAATTTAAACAATAACTAATTGTTTTCGCGAGAAAAAACAGGATTTCCTGTAGCCATATTTTAGAGCCAGCCGAAGTGAGTCGAGTGTAACCGAGATTGCACGAATGTGACTGGCTGCTGTGCAAAGACTTTTGTCCACCGGATGAGCACATAAGCGGGGAGCACAGACTTTTGCATAACGCATAAACCATATACATAAAGAATTTGATTGGTCCATTGACTCATGCATAAGAAAATGGACCAATGAAATTCCTTATGCACATGCTTTATGCGTTATGCAAAAGTCTGTGCTCCCCGTTATACCCTTATATAAATTTATAAATGCGCGCGCACTTTTAAATTAGAATATAATTATTTTGAAATTCGATTCTCTTCCACAGATGCAAGTTTACAATTATTTTATTTTATTGAACAAAGTAAGAGATAATTATTATCGATAATAGTAAGTATAATACACATTCTGTACGATTTGTTTACTGTTCTGAAATATTTGGCATATTTTACAAATCGAACTTTTTATGAATAGATATATTATTTAACGCGTTAGCTGAGACATTACATCAATAATATGATTGTAATTTCCCAGTCAACAATATAGGAATACTTTTTCTTGTAGCGATAAATTTTTGCCAGAAGAAAGGATAATAGTATAGTTGAGAGACGCGACGTGAGCCGCGCTTTTACGCACGTCAACTAACATGAGCACAGTCGCGACAGTCGCGTATGTGCTGGTATGTGCTGCGTGTGCATGCGTGTGTTTGCACTGGTTTGCACGCGACGCCACGCGACGCGACGCCGTGCCGACACCGGCGGCGGGCTGCGGCGGGCGCACAGTGCACCCCAGGAGGCGGGGGCGCAGTAACAGGTGGCTCCGCGTCGCGGCAGGTGAATCGTCGGACCAGCTTGAATTGGCTTTTTTGTGCGCTTTGGTGCGCCTTGGTGCGCTTCGCTCCGACCACGAACGGGTACTACCTCCGCTCGTTCGGCTCGTTTCCGTAGTCATCTTCCATTGTTTTCACGCTGCTTATCTCGGTCTTGCGTGCGCTCTTGCATTCACTCGCGCCCGCCGACCCGTTCGTGGAAGATTGCACTGACCCAGGTAGAGTATATAGACCTGAGCAACACCTGTTTGCCATTTCAATACTGCAGTGCTGTTCCATACGAAGGAATGATGCGACGACGTTACAGCTGGATGGCGCCTTGAGGTGAGGCTCAACGACGTCGTCTACGCCGAGGAGGCGGCAGTTACACACCGAGTCCCGTCACATCTGCGTCGACGGTACGCCTCTCGACAAACGTATGAAAGATCGGGGCTGTAGCAAAATCAAGAACGAGACAATGCCGCCGTCCTCGCACACCAACTGGACGAGGCCGTTGCTCAAGAGCGGACAGACAATGCAGATGCAGGTTGCTAGGCAGCAGCAGCAGCAGCCGCCGCCGCCGCCGCCGCCGCCGCCGCCGACATCGGTAACAACGACGACAACGACGACCTCGATGACTATTAGCACTGGAGCACAGAATCAAAACATAGCGGAGCATCCTGCAACACCACTTGACAAGAGAATCAAAGTAGTCCTAGTGGGCGATGGAGCGGTCGGTAAGACCAGCTTGGTGGTCTCGTACTCCACCAATGGTTTCCCTGGGGAATACGTGCCAACCGCATTTGACAATTACAATGGTGAGTGTATACTTTTTGCATTTATTCGCTAAGCAGTATAAACCTTTTGGATTATGATTTGGGTGGGTATAATGCTTTGTAGCTATATCTTGAATCAACACAAGTATGTATCTTGTGCATTTTTTAATGCATGGGGAACAAGATATTTACATTATTTACCTTTGCTTTTATCCTAATTGATTTCTTAATTGTAATTTTCATCATTTAACATTTTATTCCGAGCAAATGTTAGATAAGAGTACATTAATAGATAAGGATATATCAATTCAATACTAATATCTTTTTAATATCTATCCAGTGGTCGTAAATGTCGACGGACAACCGTTAAATGTCCAGCTATGTGATACAGCGGGCCAGGATGACTTTGACCCTCTGAGATCGTTGTGCTATCCTGAGACAGATGTGTTTCTAGTTTGCTTCAGTGTTGTATGCCCCTCATCTTATCACAGTGTGGCTTCCAGATGGATCAATGAAGTGAAGAAATACTGTCCTAATGCTCCAATCATTTTGGTATGATTTGTGTAACGATATTAGAAATCATGCAATAATAATTATAATACGTATTATAATTTTTAACAAAATATATATTATATTTCTACATTGATAGAAAAGCAATCATTAGCAACTTTTCAGTAGAGCATTTTTTAAGAACGTTTTACGATAATAAATATTCATCATTTTACTTTCTTTCCACACACTTTCAATTCATTATACACTGAAAAAAGTTGAAATATTTGCAAGTAAATGTTATGTATTATGTTGACATTTTCGGATTATCAAATAATTTGACTATAAATACGAAATATACATTTTTGTGAAATATGTTTCATTAATTATAAAAGAAATGAAATAGATGGTTTATTATTTGCTAGAAATAAAATTTTATTTCGCTATGTTCATTCTTAACGTCTATTATACGTCTATATTGTCTAAAACTATGTCATGAGTTTTTCAAAATTCAAACATTAATGCTCCAATTCTAATATTTTATTTGTATCAATCTTCTATTAACGCGACAGTATTATAAAATAATGTTATACCTGTATAAAATATAAATTATTCAATTATATTAAAATTCTATAGGTGGGGACAAAAAGTGACTTGAGATCGGACGTACGTTTGATGCTGCAACTGGCGCGATATGGACAGTCAGCAATCACTACTATTCAGGGCCATCAATTGGCGCACAGACTAGGCGCCGTCAATTATGTAGAGACGTCTGCATTAACGCAACACGACCTCAAGGAGGCCTTCGATCAGGCGATAGTCAGTGCCCTCAATACGCGGCGCGAAGGCGCCAATTTACTATACCGGCGTAGGAAGCCGCCCCCGTTATGGCGTAGATGGCTGTGTTGCTGGGAACGGTCGTCTTCGAGCGAGACCTAAACAATCCCTATTTTAAGTGATAGAATTCTATACTTTTTTAGAATCCCTCTGTGATCATAGGCGGTCGCTCTCCTTTCTGTCAGAATCATCATCCTTCAGCACAGCATACTCTGTAGCTAGCGTTGGTTGAGGATTATTTCAAAATAGAGCAGCTACTACTTTGTTATTTAGATTTTAGATTGGATGATTATTAATGGATACTCGCATTGAGAATTCAGAGCAACCCTGTTGTTATACGTGATGTTTTAATATAGTTTACTCATTTCATGTGTGCGTCATTCACATGCAATTTTTATATGTAAGTTAAATACGTTTTTATGCGTTCCACAAATTAATAAACTGCCAGAACAAAATGCCAAAATACGATGTTAGTAAAGTCACCAAAAGTAATGGTACTTAATTTGAAAGAAAAAGTAGGATCCGTCAATTAAGGGTTGCTCGTGGTACAGTTTACAAGTATGTGAGTGACTTTATCGCGAGAGAGTAAACGTTAATCCCGACAAATTCCCAAATTCCGACAGACAGAGCAAGCGAGTGCCGCCCTCGTAAAATTCCTGAAGCCGCATGGCATAATTTATTATAATATTAATCGTATTAATCATTATTTTTGTTACTAGCATAATAATTGGCTACTCGTTGGTTGTGATTTTCCATGTACGTAATATCCTTATTTCAATTATCGCGATAAAGAGATCGGTTGTTTCTCATTTTTCCCCAATCAAGGGATATTAGGTGGCCCCTTTTACGACTAGCATAGCGTATAACAATTGTATATTTTTTACTTGTTGCGACCTCTCGTATATATACATATATATATATATATATATATATATATATGTATATATATAAATATATATATTTATTTTTTAATATCTTTGATATATCGATATTTTAGAATAACGGTAGCTTTCCGGACACTTTTTGCAGATCGACGATATGATCGTGACATCACACATATAGAATTTATACAATAGCGTTCTAAGTTTTAATAATGGAACAATGGTATTTCGTAAAATACGATTTTTTTATATAAGCATATGTGATGTAGTAACGTTTGCATGAGCGATATCAACCGTATGAAAGAATATCAAATACAGTGAGAAAGATAAACGCGAGTACATATTCGACGAATAATGAATGTACTCGAGATTGCTAGAAAGATTGCTGTGATCTTACTTGAAATTTTCTATTAGTAATTCTATTATGTGTTGCACATATGGAATTGTATAAATAAGACTGCAGAAAAGATTCAAAGACTCTGCACACAGTATCGTAGTCTCAATCTGCTGTAACATTTCATCTCCATCACATGACATCATCAAAAATAAATTGTATATAAGTATTTATTCATCGAACAACAATTATAGATTTTGTGCGTGTCATTTATTATTTACTTTGTCAAGAAACATCGTGTTTGGCATAACTCTCTCCGTATCGTTAAAATGTAGAAAAATAAGAACTAAGTAATTGTATCGCTATTAGATAAGATACTAAAAAAGTTAAAAATGTGCCAATCATTCTTCTTAAGAAAATGTGCGTCATTATTAAGATTAGAGATAACATTTTTTACAGCTTGTCTTTTCAATTTTTCTGTATCTTATAACATTTTAATTTTTTTTAAATTTTTGTATCTTATTTTAATTTTTACTGATTAGTCTTTTTTTTTAATAATCATGTAATTGTTAACAAAAGATAGACGGTACAGAGTCATAATTTGTCATATGAATCTGTTGGCACAAATTTGTTTTTAAACGGACAATCACGAGTCATGCAGAGTCATGAGGCATGATATGAGGCAGCCGGCTCAGGGTCAAGCCCCGTCAGCCGCTGAAACGACTAGACGAGCGCGAGACACCATTGGTTCACTACGTCACTTTATACTGTTGCGCGTGCGCACGAGAAGCAGTCCGTTTATCATCACTGCTCCACGTGCGCCTTCTCGCTGCTCCTCGCGATCCCTGAGAAACGATGGCGAACCGAGTGGCCGGTATCGCGACGGTAAACACGCCTAAACAGTTGTATAAATATCTATTGCGCGAATGCGATAAACTACCGAGGCATACGCAACAATTTTACAAACACTCGGTCAAGCAAGTAAATATAAATGATTTTTTGATAATGATATTTAACAAGAAACTTAAAAGAATGTTAAAACTATGAGACCTTTTAACAGTTACTGCAATTTTTGTAAGAAAATTAAGTAGCTCTTTTGTAGCTCAAATTGTCTATTAATAAAACAAACTTGTTATTGGAGACAAAAACAATTTTTTCCCACAGAGTTTCAAGCAGCACGTCTCGGAGTCCGATGAGGAACGCATCCAGCAAATCATGGAGAAAGCATTACTAGATGCCAAATGGGTGATACAAAAGGTACTCTTGTCGTCGACTTGTATCAAATTCGATCTTTGAATCAGTAATAATTCCTGCCTTTTTCTTTACGCGACAGTACAATCAGCCAGGCGGTACTCCAACGCCCAAATGATAAATCGACACAAGTTGTAATTTACATTTGAAATACAATATATGTATAAATTGTAATATTAGGTAGAAAAAATGAGAGAAAATTTTGAGGAGGTTGTTAGTGAGGCCACTAATAGCAGTAACTTGCAGTTTTGGAAAGCCATTGGGATCTGGACGAGAAATCCTCATATTATTAATCGTCGGATTCTAGCATCCCAAGAGCTATTAACGGTCCAAGTCAGTTGTAATGTTGTGAATATTTTTGAACATGTTGAAAAGCTGAAAATCCAGCCTGAAGATTTTGAGTGTGACTCATCCTCGGGCGATATAAAATGTTTATTAGACACTTTAGGTATTGCAGAATATTGCCAAGTTCAAACACAGTATACAGATCCAATCGAGTCTATGAATGATGATAAGATTTATTTATGCGTGAAGAAGCTGTTGCCTCGAAACACACAAATATTCTCGCCTACGTTGGAACTGGTACTTGTTGACAAAGGATCGGTTAGTGTTACCAGTTTCTACAAACCGATTGTCCTAGGTAAACAATCTTTGGGTCTGAATACAATCTACAGGATACAACATCGCGAGTATGCATCTACGTGTATAAATGTTTGTAAATCGGACAATGATAATTATGGCAGAAGCTGCGATTGGCTCAAGTCTAAGTTCTTTCCACGGTTCTTGAAATGGATGGATAGTGAGAACGATAGCGTCGGTCAAAGAATCAGTTCCCTTAGTCTCATTTCCGTCGAGAAGTATACTTTGCTCTACAATCGGCTGAAAGACAAGTACGGCACGCGAATGGTAAATGTGTGGCCTGAGAACACTGACCCGTTCAAGTTCGTCTACGAGGACGTCGCGATTGCTACTTACCTGTTATTACTCTGGGAGAAGGAGAGGCTAGAAAGGAAGACACAGAAGCTGCAGTCATTTGTCGATCTTGGTTGCGGAAACGGCCTTCTCGTCTATATCTTGTCTAGCGAAGGTCACGCAGGGACAGGGATTGATTTGCGCAGAAGAAAGATCTGGGACTTATTTCCAGAGAGCACTCATTTACAAGTGTGTAACTATAATTCGCTGCAACCATTATTAAACTTGATCAAGTTTGGATATTATGTCAATCTATAATTAACAAATCTGTATTTCTTCTCTTTTGTTAACAATTTTTTGTAATCTTATGGGTAATACTTTTATTTCATATATATATATATATATATTAATATAAATGTATATATTATATAGAAATTGATAAACACTTTATCGCGACTGACATAATATTTATAACAACGCTAATATTCATTTCATCATACTAGTAATTATAATTTTAACTTATTTTAAGTATGTTAGTCCATAATTAAGCTCGCGTTCTTTCTTCGTTAACAATTTATTGTAATCTTATGAATACTTTTCATTTCATGTGTATTAATAACAGATAAATTGACTGACAAATTTATTAATGCTAATATTAATATTTATCACATTTAATTTAATTTTGTTTCAATAATCATATGGTATTGCAGGTTGATACAATCGTTCCTTCCTGGGATACAGTCTTTCCTAATGTAGACTGGATCATAGGGAATCACTCGGACGAGCTTACCCCATGGATTCCCGTGATCGCTGCGCGAAGTTCCTATGAGTGCCGATTCTTCTTGCTACCGTGTTGTGCCTATGAATTCGATGGTAGCAAGTATCGACGGTGCAACGCTGCCGAAAGCCAGTACTCAGAATACATGTCCTACGTTAAAAGCGTTTGCGAGGGCTGCGGCTTCCTCACATTAGTGGATAGATTGCGAATCCCATCAACTAAGCGGACCTGTTTCGTCGGATGGAAAAGAACTTGTGCGAAGGAGAATACCACGGCGCTAGATGCCGATATTCAGAGGATCATAAATGCAAGGTCTCAGGTAGAGAGTTCAAGAACTAAAGCGGGAGACGGCGAATTGTGGTCCACGAGCTTCAAACCGAGGGACTCGACAGAACAAACAAGGAATTGCACGCAGTTGGACAAAGGACTGATTCTCGAGATTGTCAATGTAGTCGTGGCACATCTTCTCCACGTGATTCGCAGGATATCGTTGGAGCGGAAACCCGGTAAAACGTGGAACGCCGGTGGACAGATCGGCATCGGTGAGATGGCGAAGCTGATCGCGCCCGAGATGCTCCAGCAGCTGCGAAACGAGTGTGGCGGACTACAAACCTTATTGAAGAATCACAGTCATATTTTCTGCGTCGCTCAGGGAAAGGTGCAGTTTAGGATTCCTGGCACCGTTGACAAGAAAAAAAAGAGGAGGAAAAACGGAAATGCTAGCGCACCTTTAAGAAAGGTGAAGCCTTGTTGGTTTCACAAGAACCATCCCGACGGATGTCCTGCTCTCGAAATCGACTGTGACTTTCAACATTGAGATCATCTGTTGTTTTGTAGTTCTATACCACCGAGTTTTATGTTGTACTTATCTATGTTGAATCAAACGTGCATGTAACAGTGCGTTTTATTTTAAATAAAAGAAAATAAATGTCGATTGTGTCGATGCTAAAAGGAAAGAAGAAAAAAAAAAAAAAAAAAGGAAATTCTCATACAACAGTTTTCATGTGATTCGGCAATACAAAATATAACAATAATCAACTAAAGAAAATTAAATTACTTTTCGAGTGCAGCATATTGTTACAACATTAGATACGTAAAACAAACATCACAGCTTTGATTTACTTAACGTTTGAAATCTTTCTATTTCTTCATATCTTTTCGTCACTTAAAAGCGTAGTATTCAATTATTAGTAAATTCGTTTGTGGCACGTTTTCAATTACAGTTCAAGTTAATTACATTACACATACTTACAAGCGATTTGCTTGCGAGAATCACAGGGTTAATTTTCTCGAAAGATTCCTTTGAAGACATTTATTTGAGAAAATCTACCACCAGTATGTCGTCCAAGTTTAGCAGCTTAGTATCTCCGCCTTGATTGTCTTGTAGAAGCGTGCCTAGCATCTGTTGGCCGCTCTTCAGCTTTTTAACATCGAGCATGACCATCTGATGGAAGCGTTTCAGATGTGTCTGTAAGTTGCATTTCTGCGTGAACAGGCGCTTGCAGTGTGGACAAGAGTATGGCCGATCACCGGTGTGGTGCTGCTGATGCAGATGCAGTGTAAATTTCTGCGCAAACGATTTGCCGCATTGCTCGCACTTGAATGGTCGTTCCCCCGTATGAATACGTTTGTGTCGTTCCAATTGATACGGCTTCATGAACGTTTTTCCGCATACATCGCACTCCTTGCTTGAAGTCTGCGCCGAAGCTTTCGTCATCGTTGTTGTTGTTGTTTGATCACTCGTTTTCGCTTCAAACACACCGACGCTATTTGTATCTTGAGTTTGAATTTGTATCATAGATACAGGAGGCGTACAATTATTCATTTGAATAACCGCTGTGTTGCTCATATCTGCGGTCGTCGTCTCCGCTGGCACTTGGCTGGTTATCACCACGTGATTGTTGTTACCCAAGTTACAAGTTTCATGAAAAGGATCTGGATTGACTAATTCGATTACGTTAGTTGACATGTCGGCGCCGGTAGCATCAGAACTGTTTATCGTCGATTGCGTCAGCAGGGTATCGTCCGTTTGAAAAGTGACCAAACCATTTGCCAACAAGAACTGTAGATTCGCCACCAGTTGGTTGTTTTCGTTCACAGACAATATCGAATTGTTATTGATTGTCGTCGTCGTGTCAGTGTGATTAAACGCGATTTGATTCGGTAGATGAACCGCGGTACCGAGATTCACTGTTTGCTCTAACGTGGGATAATCTGCCAAGGTTTGCGATGGCGCGATTTCATCGTTAATTATAGCAGTAGTCGTTGCTGTTGACGCATTATTAAGAGAACTGTTGTCGATTTTTTCGAGGCTGGCCGCCGCTTCCGCCACCGCAGCGATCTTAGAGTGTTTCGACTTGCGTTTTGTACCGCCCTTATGCTCCCTTGCGTGCTTCAACATATGTACTTTCTTATGACCCGAAGTGCGGAATCGAAGATCGCACACGAGACACTTGTACGGTTTCGAACCTTAAAAGGAGATTTAAGACGTATGATTATGCATTACCATTTTTCTCTCGAGCTAAAATTCTCACATATTATTTAACGTATGTAACAGTTGACTCGTGAATAATCACCTGAGGTGTTTCACATGTCAGTGAGAAAATGCGAATTGTAAAATATTGTTTTATATGAATATAGTTTAACATATTCAATAATTCATTTTGTTTTTTAATAACTATTGCTTATGAACTGTTAGATGTACAATTCCATTGAATACCAACAATAAAAAAGTGTTAAATCAATTAAAATTCTTTTTTTTCTTTAGAAATGCTATATTAAAATATAATATATATATATATATA